CAATTTTCATTAAAACTAAAAGCCTTTGTTCCGCGCACCAAATGGAACCGCAAACGGCAGCAGCGGCAGTCGCTGAACAGCAGCAACAACAACATAAACAAAAGGCAGCTGAAGACCACACTATTTGTGCCGGCGCACAAGGGCCCGATTAAAACAATACAATTCAATCAACCTGATGCACTCAGGCAACAACTTAACATCTCCTCTCCCCTTACTCAAGTTAGAGCTTGCACGGACGGACGGACAGACGGACAGACGGACGGACAGACGGACGGACGGACAGACAGTCACCCGGATTTCAACTCGCCTCTTCATCCTGATCATTTATATATATATAACCCTATAGCTAACTCGATTAGTTTTAGGTGATACAAACAACCGTTAGGTGAACAAAACTATTATACTCTGTAGCAACAGGTTGCGAGAGTATAAAAATAGTTTACCTATTTATAAATAAGTGTATTCGACTGTGATTTTAAGTTATTTTAAGAATATTTCAAATATATTCAAGTTCATTTTTTTATTACTACAAAATATCGAGATTGACAAGCCTGCGTAGCAAGAGATTGTTCTCTCACTCTCAGTTCATTCGTTCCTACGAGAAAAATCCAATTATCGCGGATATCCTACCGTACGGTCTGTTGAAGCGGACGGTAGAAGCGATGGTGACTGATCATTTACATTGCGCTCCCATAACATAGGTCGTATCAGCTGATTCGGGACACGGTTTTGCGTCGGTGACTGTTTGTGCCTTTAGGAAGGCTCTCTAAGTTTGAGCTTTTAATGGTAACGGGAAGTTTCCGTTTAAAAAATATATCGTTTTCCCTTGAAAAATATATCGTTTCAAAGATTTTGTAGGGAGTTGAGTGCTCTGTAAAATGGTTTTTTCGTGAACCTAATCGTTTAAATGATATTAACGGTTGAAGTTCGACTATTGGTCTGTATAGTTTTTCGATTAAGATAAGCGTTTACGAGATCTATCAGAGGTATACAGAAAATACAAAAAAATTCAAAAACGAGACCATTTTTGGTAGAGCAGTAACTTTCCGACAAGTCTATGAAATGTGCTTTTTGAAATGATGAGCAAAATTTGTTGTAAAATAATCAAACTTCCACCGTTTACATATAACCGTAAGAGACCATTTTGTAGAGCATTAAATTCCCTACAAAATCTTTGAAACGAGATATTTTTTTCGAGAGATGAATTTTTCATTAAAATTTTCTATCTAATAATAAGAAAACCGTTAAGCGGAGGCCTTCCCGGTGCAATTAAAAGCTCATACTTGGAGAGCCTTTCTTAAAGGTGTCTATCAACCAATTTTTCTGAATACCAACCGAAAAAAAAACATTTTTTTTTACCCACTCTAATACTTACACATATATACTTATATCCATAGATACATGATATGTATTTCATATAAAGTTATGCTCATTTGATATGATGAGATTTGCCTAAAGGTATCTTAGAATCACAGTGGTGGTTTATACTTTTGTATGTATGTGTGCTACACAAAAAAATATATAAAAACTTATTGACAAACGATTTTGCCTTAAAGCATTGTTGTTTTTATTATTGATTTACATGAAGTGAACTTTTTTGCTTGTTAACTTTGTAATAAAATATTTTGCAAAAACTAATGAACCGAGGATAAGACGATCGTCTAAGATCCTTTTATTGTAGTGATAACATACTTAGTATACTCATGTGAATCGTTCATCTACCCCTGGTGATGAGGATACCATCGAAAAAGTTTAAGAAACAGTGCTTGAAAATCGTTATGTTGGTTTCAGAGAGATAGCAGAAGATCTCGCAATCTCTAATGGATCGACGCAACACATTTTGCTTAATGTTTTGGGAATGAAACGTGTTAAGACTTCCATCAAAAGGCCTGAATATTATGCAAAAACGACTTCGAGGAAAGGTCGCAAAACAGGTACTTGACAACGTAGCTGAGGAACCTACATTCATTAAACTCATCATTACTGGAGACGAGACTTGGGTGCATAAATATGACTTCGAAACTGTTCAAAAATTTAGCAAATGGCGTCCCAAAAATGGGCCGAAACCGAAAACCAAATTGCGGTGAGGCCACTGAAGGCCATCTGAAAAATTTGATTAAACAAAAGCTCTGGCGCTTATTTTGAAGACGATAATAAATATTGCATTAAAATATGTAAAATGCAGATTTCTGCCAGTGCGGTTCAATTTTGATCAGAAGGTTGATACGCTCATTACGAAGTGTTTTAGTCGGTGGAATTAGCAATATGAAAGTTACAGTATTCTGCATTTGTTAAGTTCACCTTAAGCGTCTGATATATTTTAAGAGAACCTTTTTTTCATGGCTGAAGTAGGGGTTGAAGGTTGACATTGCCTTCTGAAAACCGAATTCTTTGAAAACCTCTTTCGTATATTTAAATTTTTTTCCGCTGGCATTGTAAAAACACATTACGCTAATGCTTAGTTTATCGAGGAGTTTGAATTTAGGAGTAATACTCGTAACGTAGCTGATAAATTTTCAAATTGTAGAATATCTCGTATTTTTTTTATTCCTTGTTCCTGTCCTGCTTTTGATGGAGCCATCTGAGAACTTGTAGTTCAGTAGTTCCTTTAGTGGACTATTATGGATTTCTGTCCCTAACCAAGTCTACCCGTTTATTAGGAAAGGTATTTCTTTAAAAGTTTACACAGAGTATGTTGAATATTCCAAACTATAAAATACATGTATATTATATAATTTTAGCCAAACATAGCTTTGCAACTATATCTGCTAACAATCGCTAATAATCAAATATATATTAGCGACCTCACTTTGTCCCCACTGGAGTATCAAACCTATCGTAACAGAATGAAAACTTTTTTATTTGAAAAGATAACTTCACGAAATTGGCTTAAGTTATTTTTCAAGACAATTTTGCAATCTCCGAATATATTGTTCAGATCGGACCACGTTGATCCTAAATTCTGGGTCATAACATTAAACTACTATATGCGTTTTAGTTAGTCTCGGAGTGTTCGATTATACTGGGGTACGACTCCAAGGCACACCACACACTATGGGGCAGCACGGACATCAACGAAAGGGGTGAATTGCTCTTTAATTATTTACTAGGAAATAAGCTTATGTTATGCCAACATTTATAACTAGAAACCGACAGGAAGTATTAGACATAAAACTTGTGTCGGAAGAACTGGTAGATAAAATGACACCTTGAAGAGTATTGAAGGAACACTCCTTCTCAGATCACCGTTACATTGATTGTATAATTGAGATAATATGGATAGGGTAGAGATATTCAGGAATCATAGGAAAACGAACTGACAGATGCACCTGCAGGAGCTAAAAAACGTATTCCTATGATTCCGCTATTTCAACCAGAAAACAAAGAGAACCTAGACATTCTCGCTCATCCAGTTCACAGATTCTTGTCGACAAGCACTATAGGTGGCTTGTCCAATAACACCTATAAACCTAACACCAAAAAGATTTCAGAAAGCAACTTAATGTAGCCAAATTATCCCAAAGAGAAGAATAGTAGAATAATTATTATAACCTCCTAAATCCATAAAAAAGGAGGTAAGGAGGGCAAAAAGAAATTCGTGGAAATCATTTTGTAATGACATCGAGAATATGGCAGAATCATCTCGACTTAGAAAAGTAATGACATAGTCGAAACATAACATAACAAACATAAGGAAAGTCCACACCATAGCTGGACGGTATCCAGTGAAGAGACTCTAGGTCTGCTAATGGATACTCCCTTCCCAGACAGTTCCGAGAACCACACAATGTAGCTTACACTGGGCACGGAAGTGGTAGCAGAGTCCCCTCCTGTAGACATACCTAGTGTTAGATAGTAATGTTTATTGGGCGATAGGCAGCTTCAAGCCTTATAAATCGCCAGGATCAGAGGGCATATTCCCTGCTGAGTTACAGCAGTCCCAGAGCTACATAATAAACTGGTTAACAACCATGCTTAAAGGGGAACTGCGATAAAACTATATTCACTCGGCATGGAGGAAAGTCTAAGTGATATATATACCAAAGGTGGGCAAAAGCTCCCACACTAATCCAAAGGATTTTAGACCAATTAGTTTTTCTTCATTTCTCTTAAAAAGGTATACGGTGCAAACTAAGCCCAGGAGCATGAGTATTCTAAGGAAAAGTCCACAGAAATGGCGTTAAGCTCAGTAGTAGCACAGATTGAAAAGTCTGTGAAGATAAAAGAATACACCTTCGTAGCTTTCTTAGACATAGAAGGTGCTTTCAATAACAATCAGCCGAAGGCCATACTGAGCGCGCCTCAAGATTTGAAACTCTGTCCGAAGGGGTACACCCCAAGGAGGCGTATTATCCCCACTTCTCTAAATCCTGATAATGAACAAAATGCTGATGGATCTATTGCTTTAATTAAATGCTAGCAAGACAGAACTAGTATTGTTCAATAAGAAACACAGTACTCCCGAAATCACGCCGCCAGCTTTAAATGGCACCAGGCTAACGATAGGAGATAAAGCAAGCTACTTGGGACTAACTTTAGAAAGGAAGCTTTCTTGGAAACCAAACTTGGAAGCTAGGATCAAGAAAGCAGATACAGCACTTTACATGTGTAAAAGAATGGTGGGGCCCAGATGGGGGCTGACGCCACGGGCAGTTCACTGGCTCTACACAGAAATTGTAAGCCCGATTATGACTTACAGTATATTAGTATGGTGGCCAATAACGTAAAAGAAATACGCAATTAGAAATATGGAAAGTATACAAAGAGCAGCCATTATTGGCATCAGTTGTACTCTCAGAGCAACGCCAAGCCTGGCGCTAAACGTAATCTTACACTTACGGCCAACAGACTTGTTTTGCAAGCAAATGGCAGCGAAGTCAGCTCTGAGACTGAGGGAATCCTCCCTACTAGTCGCCAGTAATAAAGGGAATTCTACGATACTTAGGAAGTTCCCGTTTCTTTCCATAACCACGGATTTTCGAAATCCTACAGAGCTGAATCTAAATCCTGTCCCCAATATTGCCTTTCTCTCCAGAGAGGAGTGGAAAAGTTGCGAAGTGGACAAAGAGCCAGGGATAAGCATCCATACGGAGTGTTTCAAACTAGATAACCGAGTGGGCGGCGGTGTCTTCTCAGCAGAACTATATACCAAAATCGTCTTCCGTCTACCAGACCACTGCAGTGTCTCCCAAGCGGAGATCACAGCAATTAAAGAAAGTCTTCTTGTACTGACAAGGAGTGTGATCACAACAAGAAATATATTTATATATATAGACAGTCAGGCGGCTTTGAAATCTCTAATGTTTAATAACATTTTGTCTAAGATAGTAAAAGAATGTCTTGATATCCTAGCGGATCTGTCATCCTATTTCAAGATAAACCTGCAATGGGTCCCAAGACACAATGACATCTCCGAGAACTGTGCAGCAGTGAAAATAGCCAGAATAGGCACCACCCTACAACTAGATTCTGGTAAAGAGGGCATATATATGCTTCTGGCTACTTGTAGATACTCAATCGCCAAACATGTCATAAAGATAGCTGAGTCTCAGTGGAATCAGTCTCTGACTTGCTCAAGAAGCAGGAAAACGTGACATGAATGGAATATGAGCCGCACGCTGCCAACTGTTAAAACTCAAACGGAATAATATAACCACTCTAGTTGGAGTACAGGCCAATGTCTAATAGGTAGACATGCAAGTAAACGATTATTGTAGAAGCTTTCAGGAGGTAGAAGATGAAGAGAACATTAAACATCTTCTATGCGATTGCACGGCTCTATATGGGTAAAGAGTCGCAGCCATCGGTCTAGAGATAAAACTTGTCTTACTGATGAAGTTTATCAGAAGTATGGGGTGGTTCAGAGATAAGACAATAGAGTGAAAGGACCTTGGTCCCGGTGGTATCACAATCCTCAACCTCCTAAAGGCCTAGATGTGTCGAAAGACAGCCACTCTACCTACCTATCTAGTCTCGAAAACCACATGTCCAAAAAAAACCCTTTGCCTACGGTGAAGCTGAAGTTAAGGTTTTTTCTTGTTTTTCATACAAAATTAACTAAAATATCGACTAATAAAAATATTAATTACAATATTACTTAAATTGTTGCTGATAAAGTAGAAGAAAAGCAAGTTTCGCTTGGGCTTTCTTTCTATACATACATATTATAATGTATACGTATGTATGTATACATGTATGTATGAGTGTTAATATTTTCCCCACCCACGCAAGCGAATCAGTGAATTTCCTTTAATTCGGTTCACCACAGCCACATCAACTCGTATGTATGCGTTGATGAGATTTTTGTCTTAGTTGATTCGCTCGGATACATGTGTCATATCTAAAATCTTATCTCAATGTTGCAGTTTAATTCGTTTAGAGATGCTCACACGCGTGCTTTGTACCCCTGTGTATGTATGTATATGTGTGCATACTCCCACTAGCCGCGAACCATGCCAGCGCTGGTGCAGGCCAGGCAAACACGAAGGCAACAAGATGAATAACAATAAAACCAGCGACAACCACATTGTTGATGTGATTTTTACGACAATTGCGATAAATGCGATATATTTATTTCTGTTGCCTCCACCGATTTGACGGCGAACGATAAACACCGGCAGAAACCATCGCACCCTCCCACACCCTGCCGCACACACATATGTGTATGTTTGTATGTGACGGCACATTTCCACTATTTTTCAGCTGTAATTTGATTTCAGCCCACACCCCCTCCACGGCATGAAGTGAGCAACGTCGCTGATGCTCAAAGTATTCAGCTGACAACCCTGGCATCAACGCTAACAAATGCGCACAAATACCGCAAATCCTTTGGATTTGTACGATGCCAACTCGTGTGGAGGGTGTTGCCATTACAAACACACACACACACACATACACTTATACACATACCTATGTAAGACCCCGCTTTGTTTGACGCGTGCTATAACAAACGTCGTTGACGCTCCCTCTCGCGCATGAATCCTGAGCGCTTGCACTCCCGCCGTCATCCACCCAGCGACTCAACGAAGTGGATGCGCTTCTCAAGATCCATTCAAGGAGTTGACATTTGTTATGTATAAGTCGGTGATAAGCAAATGTTAATTTTGGCCATTTAATTGGTGGCTCTTAAGCCACTTTTTACACTTTGTTATATATGTATGTACGCTTGTTTGTTTTATTCCGTTATTGTTGTGATTTGTTGGTAGCTGCGTGTGGTTTATAACTTTATAACTTTAGGCTTATAATTTTTATTGCCAGCAATTAAACATTTAATTGTTTTAATAATTCTTTTACTGTGTTTTTCGGCTTAAAGTTTGAGGATTTGGATTGTCGTTGCTTTAGGAAGAACAGCCTTGTAGGAAACTTTTGAGTTGAAGCGGCACATTTACCAATAATGTATTTAAGCAATTTTTGTAAGAATAACGAAAACCGTTATATTTAGTAAATGAGAGCTGAGTAATTTGTGGACCGATTTCACACATGTTTAGCGTTCAAATACTTACATATATATATATATTATATCCGAAATTATACGTACACTTAATTTGACTAAGAACTCTTACGGTATATAGGAAAGTTCTGGAATATTTAGATATTTTTGGCATCAAGACATACTATTGCCAGATAAAGATGTCTACTAAGTTTAACTCACATATTGACTGATTATATGCATGTGATATAAAGTCAACCGGAAGTTCGAAAACGCTCATATTCGGTATATGGGGCTTTCCCCTAGCCCCATTGTCACGATACTTCCCATATTTGACACAAGTGTACATTATTATCGGGAAATGATACTCTTTGAATTTCAAAAATAAATCTCATAGCTTCACAGATATTTTCGATGAAAAGTCATTCATAGGTACTCTGGTCTACATATTAGGTATTTGGACGCGTGAACAATTGTTGTCCGATTTTGACAATTTTAGGCTGGAGATAGTATATCTTAAAGGCATTATTCGTGAAAAGTTTAGCCGGATACATTGATTGGTTCTTGATTTGTATATTGTAAAGTGAAATAATCATATAGATTTTAAAATTATGGTGGCTTTAGTCCGAGTTAGGCCATTTTCGCAATGTAACCTAAGAATGTCGTAATAATTGAAATTGGTAGAGTCGTTCCTGAGATATATGCATTTTTGCAATTGGCTATTATGAAGCTCTACCGTACCATCTCGATTGTGAATTTATATGCCTTTGGCGTACGTGTTTATTTAGTGATTGCTCCTTTAGAAGCTGTCGGCGTAAACGTTATATGGAGAGTAGGCTTGGTAATTATTTGATTTCACAAAGTTTCGCACTATCCGAGGGCGTATTCGTCATCAACAAATTTGGTTGCTATAGCTTTAGTGGCATACGAGATATGTACATTAAACATTTTACGGGGCGAGGCTCCGCTCATTTTAGAAATTTTTAGCCCACATATTCCTCTCTCTCTCCTGCGATCCCATGTACCAAATTACAGTTTGGTATCTTAAGTTCAAACTTAGTTCTAGCATTTAATATGGTTCCGATTAAGGGAAAACAAATTAAATTAATGTTTACTCAAGTTACAGCTTGCACTGACAGACGGTTATTCGGAATTCCACTACAAAAGGCATGGCGTTCTACAATAGTTTTAGCTTCATAGTAATTTTAAGATAAATAACGGTTATACGAGTATAGCAAGTACTACATGCTGCTACAGAGTTTTTTTTTTTTCATATTCCAATCTTTTATATAGGCCTATAGTTTTACTTTAATAATACGGCAAACCTAATTCGGGTTTTATATATAGACTGATCAAAGATTTATATACACTTTTTGATGCAGGTTTTTAAATATTAAGTGACTACGATTAAACAAATTAATGAGAGCCTTTTTTTTAATTTTTTATGTACCCAAATTTTTTCGAACTTACTATATAAAAGTGGGAGACTCTCGGCTATCTTTATTTTGATAAAGTAAAAGACGTAAGAACTGCTAATTGTAGAAATGTAGGTAAATTAAATCATCGAAAAAACAGCTAGAAGCACTCAACAAGTGTTTTCAGGATTTAAAGAAGTTTTACCATATTTGATAATAATATAAATGAACTAGACGGGAAAAAATTGGATCTGCCGGTAGCTGGTTGCCATCGAGGTATCTTGTTTTAAAAAAATAGTGTTAATAGAATTTTTGTACTGCTTTTTATTATCTAAATTTATATTTAATTATATTTCCTCTGAGATACACCTAACTCGATATCTAATACAAGGAAGAAGTTGCCTGTACATCTTAATGCCCACATCCGCAGAACACCAGCAATGCCATAAATAGGGTGGAGCAAACATAGTATAATTTTCTAAGCCATCGAAGGAAAAACCTGAGAAGATCTTTAGAAATTTCACTGATTTGACAGGAAGCCATCTACTATATGTATATGAACTGCTTCTCTACGGCTAAATTCTTAATTCGGTAGTATAATATCAAAAATTTAACCGTCGTCTAGAAGCTGGCAGCTTTGACCAATGGGAGAACAGTTCGGATGCAAACATCGAGAGTGACTCGACAGAAGCTCCAGGTGCTCGATTGGAAAGTTTTTAACTAACACGAAATGATTACTACATACTTAACTTTGGTTGCTCCGAAACTATAATACGCTAAAATCACTTGATTCCGATCGTTCAGTTCGTATGGCAGGTATATGCTATAAGGGTCCGACAATGGCGGTTCTAACAAATGTGCAGCTTCTTGGGGTGAAAAGGTCGTGTGCCAATTTTCAGAACGATATCTTAAATACTGAGGGATTAGTTCGCGTGTATATAGATAGACGGACAAACATGTTTAAATCGACTCAGCTCATAATGCTGATAATTTATATGTGTATAAACTTTATAGGGTCTCCGACATTTTCTGGGTATTACAGACAGTGTAAAAATGGATTTCTTTTGCAAACCTATGTACCAGGTATACCGATATAAAGTAAGCGATAAGATACAAATGTGAACGAGCCTTAATTTTTTTCTGTTTGGTTGACATGACATCTGTCAAACATATTTAATAACCTTACAGTCATTGAACAAGCAACGTCATACTTTCACTTTCATTGGGCTGAAAATGTCGAATTTTATATCGGAAAGTGATGATTTGCGGAAATCATTAATTTTTTATTTCCATCTGAAAATAAGTGCTGCAGAATCGCGTCGAATGCATGTCGAGGCATGTAGTGATTATGCTCTACCAGAAGCAACATGCAAAAGATAGTTTCAACGGTTCAAAGATAATGATTTTGATGTGAGAAATGAGGAACGTGGAAACCACCAAAAAAGTTTGAAGACGCCGAACTGCAAGCAATATTGGAGTCAAAAGCAAATGGCGACCATGTTAAATGTTGCACAGCAAACAGTTTCAGACCGTTTGAAAGCTATGGAAAAGATCCAAAACTGTGCAAAATGGGGGCCTCATGATTTGAATGAAAAACAAATGGAAAATATAAAAAACACTTGTGAAATTTTGCATCAAAGACACGAAATGCATGAAATTGCAATGAAAAATTGCATCGAATTGTTACTGGCGTTGAAAAATGGATTTATTTTAAGAATCCTCAACAGAAAAAAGCAAGGGTTGATGCGGG